CAAACCGACTTAAGCAATGGCCTAGATGCATCCTCAAAGGCGGTGGGAAACCGACGTAGGAAGCTGGCTGATAGGTGGGCCCACCAGGGCCCGAGCGGCCCAACAGTGGGGCCAGGCGGCCCCACATGTCATCCTCTGGTCCTCTGCTTCGGTGACGTGGCTCCTGGATCCTTCTAGAGCCTTCCCACGTAGGTACCGTGGTGGGAATCTGTGTTTTCCTTTAACAATTAGGTCTTCCTTGGTGGTTTTCTGATTAAATTCTGCTGGAAACACAGATTTACTAAAACTTATGGAATTTATCAGTTTAAACCCTTAAGTCTACTTTAGTGATTTATTTATACCCTTATGCATGTTTAATTAACGGATAAAATATGTATGATAACTACCATCAACAACTCCCCCACACCTAGGCTTTTACTCGTCCTCGATAAAAGGTTGAATTACTCAAGACATAACCTTAGGACAAGACATCATCATAAAACCATTCCCAATTATGCATGTACCTCAGGATTCAAAGTGTCTACCATGAAACTTTGGGCGGTTGAAGAATGGAACAGCTTGAAACATATCACCATCTTCCATCAGTCAAGTCAATTGGAGAAATATTTTAAGATTTTTGAAAACAAAATATAGCTTACCTTCTCCTTTTGTAGTACTCTCAAATCACTTTGTATATGTGGTATTTTTGGATCCTCATCAAGCCATTGATGATTTTGCCTTCTTTTTGCCTACTTCTAAAAGCTTATGTGGAGCTCAGGTAGGGATGAATATAAAAATATACTCGCATTGCATATATTGTAAAGTCAAAACAAGGATCTAAGGAGAAAGATGTCATACTCTTAGATCAAGATATGCATGTGTGTGGATATATATGGTGGCTATCCTAATTCTACTATGCTCCTTGAAACATATCTCTCTTGATTAAAACTTGAAAACTTTTACAAGAAAATATGGACTATCTTATTCATCTCTCTCTTTTTTAGGCGAGCATCTAAGTACCCATTGTTCTAGATATCTCGGACACTTGTCCATTTTTTTTCCAATACTCTTTCTTTGAATAACTTTTGCATAGCCGCATGCCTCTTTTTCTGTAATTGAAACTTTTCAAGAAAGACATTTACAAGCACTTGGAGCATTTATCCTATCAAACATATTTTTGTGTCTATTCCCAGTGTAGGAGTAGAACATTTTTGGGTGGATGAAAAACATGTTGTTGCATACTCCCAGTGTAGGAGCAGCAAATATATGTGAAGTGTACGTGATCTTGATCTTGAGAGCATGATAAGTTTCTCAACAAGGGTCACAAGGTTTGACCAAACTCAATACAATGACAAGTAGTATATGTAGAAGATTTCTCTAATCTATATTTGGCTCTGGTAGGACATTGCTTACCACAAAGGGGAGGTGTAGCTATTCTTTTTAACTTTTTAAAATAAAATTCTCCAATAACGAGACATCAAGAATCAAGTTTTCATTATTCTACTATATCTCATTCCATAACAACTTAAGCAACATGGGGTCCCTAATAATAAGTTCCCAATAGTAGCATGACTTCCAGGAAAAATATTATGTGAGTCTACCCTTAAGTCATGACTGAAATAATCTTTCCTCAGGTTTTAAAGTTGTTTATTAATGGATTTTCAATTCGGTTCGAAACAGAAAATGAAACATATAAAAACAGAGTGTATTGGGCTCATACCTGACCATGGACGAAGAGCGAGGCGAGGTGGTGCTATGGTGGGCTGGGCGGCCCATGTAAGAGGCTGGGCGGCCCGCTCTCAGGCCCGTCTCGGTCCAACTTTGGCGAGCGCAGTTCTTGGTCCATATCTTCGTGATTGGATCTCGTCTTTGTTGTCGCGGTGTGTCTCCGCCACACTTGTTTTCCTATATACCTTTATGCACAACATGTGGAGACAAACACATATCCGAAAAATAGCGAGCCTATAAGATTTCATTAATATAAGGCACTTTATTACACAAGCACACATTAAGCACACACTTTTTTCTGACCTAACACAAACTTTAATATCCTAACCATCTGAGCTAAGCGACAAACCTAAACACACGATAACACTTAACCTAACACTCGTGCCTTATCAAAATGACTACCTAATTCTCACTTCTTCATTTTAGCAACAAAATGATTCAAAGTGTTTAAATCGTGTTGTAGACTCTTGTGGTAGACATGTTACTCGTCGATCCTTTGCTCTAAGGTATAGATAACATCGATCAGATCTTCAATCTTCTTTTCTAAGAGGGCAATGATCATCCTTGGACACTTCTTCAACCTCTGGAATAGGTGGTGATGCTGCCTTCCTCTTGGGAGGAACAATCTTGATCTGGTCTGGCATAGCCCGGACTCCATCAATAGCGGTACGAGGGGTGATCGACTTATACTTTGCACATGTAACATCTCCAAATTTGTTGGTCTTCAGTCGAGACAGCACCTCATGATCCTTTGGTGGGAGATGGTTGATTTCCTTCATCACCTTGAAAAGCTTATGGGTGTCTAGCTTCGGCTCTTGTTGGAGAGGCTTTCCTTCAAGACATAGCAGCGGCAGCGGCGGAGCGATCAGCGGGCGGCGAACAGCTTGGGCGTAGTAGGATTGATTTGAGCAAATAGGGGTAACTTCTGGAGGAACAGTGGTCAGTGCAAGCGTGTCGGGCTTCTTGTTAAGATCGGCTCCATTGGGGATGATTTGCTTGTCGGCCATGGGAACTAGAGAGGATAAGAGCTTTGTTGCTGTTGGAGGAGAAGGCTTTGATGGGATGGCAATGGAGGTAGGCAGGGGCTTGTTTATATAGGGGGATTCAACTTGCAGCAGGGGTCAAGATCTATCCATATGAGGTCTCGTAACGAGGAAAAATAGAATGCGTCGAAAAACTGCGGGATTACGAAGAGGAAGGATCTAGAAGACACGAGAGAGTTGACGGGACGCGAGAGGCACTGACAGTGGGCTGGGTGGCCTCTAGGTGGGGCTGGCAGTTCCCACATGTCGGGGTCTCAGGGTGATTTTTCTCATGGTGGTTTCTAACTCCTATCTAATCCCGAAAAGTATATTTTCGCATTACAATTTGTTACGGAGGATGGCAGTGGTGTAATTTATGGTAAAATCTGGAAATCTACCTCATTCAAATCCTCAGGTGGTTTTTCAGGTTCTAGAAAGATCTTAAGACTGTGGCCATTTACCTTGAATAACGTACCTTCATCGTTTTGAAGTGTTACCGCTCCATACGACGAAGTGCTTATCACCTTGAATGGTCATTCCCATTTGCTTCGAAGTTTTCCATGCCCAAATAATTTAACCCTGGAATTAAAAAGTAATACCTTATCTCCAAGGGCGAACTCCTTCTTCTTGATCCTCTTGTCACGCCATCTTTTTGTTCTCTCCTTGTAAATCTTGGAATTATGATATGCTTTTTCATGCCATTCATCCAACTCAGAGAGTTGCATCTTCCTCTTGGTTCATGCGGCTTCAAAGTCCATGTACCATCGTCTGATGGCCCAGTGAGCTTTGAATTCTAGCTCAACAGGTAGATGGTAGGTCTTTCCATAGACCAATTGATATGGTGACTTCCCCAATGGTGTTTTATAGGCCGTTCTGTAAGCCCATAATGCATCAGGTAATCGATCTTTCCATGTAGTTCCCATCTCGTTGATCGTCTTCTACAGAATGTTCTTGATTTGTTTATTTGATGTTTCTGCCTGGCCACTTGTCTGAGGGTGATACGGAGTAGCGACATTGTGATGGATCCCATGCCTTGTCAAGTAATTGTGAAAATTATTCTTGTCAGTGAAGTGAGTTCCTTCATCACTAATCACCATCCTTGGAACTCTAAATCTTGGAAATATTATCTCTTCAAACATCCTCTTGGAGTGTTTTGCATCAGCAGTTCTGTATGGCATGGCTTCAACCCACTTGGAGACATAATCAACTGCCACCAAGATGTATTCACAGTGTTTTGACTTTGAAAAAGGTCCCATGTAATCAATTCCCCAGACATCGAAGAGCTCAATCTAGAGGTTGGTGGTGAGTGGCATGGCATCTATTGAATTAATATTCCCGTGCCTCTAACATGCTCCACACCTCCTGATAAAGTCCTTCGTGTCTTCATACATGGTTGGCCAGAAGAATCCACTTTGCCAGATCTTTGAATGAGTGCGGAATGCTCCATAATGTCCTCCATATGGTGATGAGTGGCATCGTTCTATGATCTTGATGCCTTTTTCTACCAGTACACACCTTCTGAGCAGGCCGTCAGAGCAAACTCTGAAGAGGTACGGCTCATCCCGTATATGGAGACGACTTTCGTAGATGAACTTCCTTTTGTTTTTCCCTGGTGGTACATAACCTGCAACCATAAAATTAACAATATTTGCGTACCAGGGGTCGGATTTTGTGACCTTGAAGAGCATGTCGCCCCGCAGCGAATCGTTGATGAGCAGTTCTTGCGAATTCTCAAACTGCATTCTGGACAAGTGATCGGCAACAGAATTTTCTACTCCCTTATTTATCTTTGACTGCATCGTTTCCAAGAAGCTTGTTTGCATGCAACAACTTAGGAGCACTGGTATTGCTTCAAGATGGAGGAATGCGCCCACCCGACCAGCCTCTATGTGAGATCACAGAGATTCGACAAGAGTTTAGCAAGTCATTTAGGAGCATACATTCCTTGAGTTTCAGTGCTACTAAGATCAGGGTGTTGCCTACTAAATTTTTGGACCCCAACCTTGTGAAATATCTCAACCTTTCACAGACACCTATTGACAACATCCCCAGCTCAATCTCCAGGCTGCTGTTTCTTCAAACACTTATACTCTCACATTGTGACAAGCTCCAAAACTGCATCCAAATATAACCAAGCTCGCGATGTTACAAAAGTTGGACCTTGAAGGCTGTTGCAATCTTCTCGAACTGCCTCAAGACATGGGTAAAATAAAGAGCCTTGAATATCTAAATGTTACTCAGTGCTCATCTCTCACTCAGCTTCCCCGAGGGATGGGTCAACTGGAAAGCCTTCAAATGTTATTGGGCTACATTGTGTCCTATGCTGATGGAAGTTCAATGTCAGAGTTGCAACCATTGGCGAACCTCCATAGGCTCAGTCTCCAAAGCCTTGAAAAGGTTTCTGATCCTTTAGATGTAAGATTTGCAAGACTGGATTCTAAAACAAATCTTGAGTCACTGTCATTATGGTGGAATATGGATGATTATTCAAATGATGTCATACCAGCTTATGCAGTACTTGAATCTCTTCGGCCTCACCAACGTTTGAAAGCATTGGAGATTGTTGGATATGAAGGGGACAAGCTTCCATCATGGATCGTGGGAAAACATCTCAAGTCCCTTGTGGAGATCAAGCTAATTAGTCTGAGGTCATGTGAACTGCTTCCACATGGGCTACTGCCATGTCTGAGAATTGCTGAGATAAGTGGAGTGGAAACTATGTGCAGTGTCAATGATAATTTCTGTGGACGTAAGGGCATATTTCCCTCATCGCAGAAACTAACTTTCTCATATATGCAAAACCTTGAAGTGTGGGAATAGGCTCAAAGGACAGATATGTTCCCCCGTCTTATAGAATTGGAATTCATCCAATGCCCAAAATTAAGAGCATTGCATATGGAGCTCCCATCGCTTGAGAAGTTGTGGATGAACAACAAGGTGCTGTATGACCAGAAAGGAGCCTTGCAAGATGTGGCCAAGACCCTGGAGCATGTATCGATTTCGTTCAGCGAAGAGCTAGCTTCCTCAGACTGCGAGGGCCTGCAGGATCTTGGTAAGCTGACGAAGCTGGAGATATGTGGGTGTGACGAGCTGACGTGCCTTCCACAGGGTTTGCAGCGGATTTCATCCATCAGAAGCTTGACGATTGACAACTGCAGAAAACTGGAGGCCTTACCAGATTGGCTGGAGAACCTACCTTCTCTTCAAATCATACGCTTGTCAGGCTGTCCTCTGCTGCATTACATTCCTGGATGGTTGCAACAACGTCCTGGTGTCATTATATATGTTGAGGACTGCCCCAATTTAATACAAGATCCACTTCCCAATTTCTCTGCACAATCATCAGGTACCTCAACTTTTTTTAGTTATTAGGTACATAAAGATAATAATTTCGTTAGGATGTTTATTTTAGCAATTTCGATGGTAGTTGTTATTATCTTAACTGCCTAAAAAAAGCTGAATTTTTGTTGTTGTCTAAAAATCGGTATTCGCTCATCTTATGATGTTTACAGTTGAATTTGGTTGACCACATTGACAATTGTGTGAATTCACACACCTCCCTGAAAAAAACAGCATGCCGCTTCTATTTTATAGCTTCCTCACTTGTTATGTCTGCACTTGGGCCATCCAATTTGAGGTGCCTTGATCTTCTTCGTTGCAGGAGAACCTGTTGGTGCTCGAGTCAACAAGGGCAAAGAAATCGTCCAGGATTAGTAGTTCTGGCAATGCTTTGGTGCTGCAAGAATGGGATATGGAGTTACTGGGTGGGTTATGTTCTGTGCTGACATTCGGTTGATACTGGAATGGTCAATTAGGGACTGTGTTTTCCTGCTGTCCAGTGGAATCTGGATTCGTTGAAGCCCTTAGTTTGTAGAGCCCGACTCTAAGTTTTTTAGAACCACATTCTGTATCTCTACCAAAGGCTTAAAATGCAACTAGATTTTGGTGGAAAGCTAATGAAAACCACTTTTCCATTTACAAATTGAACTGGGAGCTAAAAAACTCATTCTCCATTGCTCCTCGTTCAATCACTATGAGAATCACTTCAGAATCAATTCTCACCTGCTCTCCCATCATAATCACTCGGTCGGAGAATATGAAGTGAAACTTAAGAATTAGGAAGGGAGCTCTACCGAATTAACCCTAAGATTTCATTTGAATTTTGTAGATGTATTGTTTTGGGACCCCTACCCACATGGCCGTTGAATACCATGGCTATGACTTATGAGTAGAGATGGCACACACGCTGTAGTCAGTAGATATAGCTTTCCATTGTTGTTCTGGATGGATTGAGAACCAGGCCAGAGAAAATAGTTGTGCAGTCACAGTTTTACAGGAAAATGCTACAATTTCCATGCCAAAATAAAAGACTATTAAAAAAAGATATACTAAAAGATGCTACAATTTCCATCCCAAGATAAAGAGTATTAAAAAAAGATGAAAAAATAATTCTAGAGTCACAGTTTTACACAAAGATGCTACAATTTCCATTCCAAAATAAAGAGTATTAAAAATATTAAATAAAGAGTAAGAAACAAATATATAAAGATTAAATTAAGAGCAAGAAAACATATAAAAAGGATCAAATTATGAGTAAGAAAAAATAGTATTAAAAAATATTAAATGAAGAGTAAGAAACAAATATAAAAAAGATTAAAGAAAGAGCATGAAAAAATACAAATAATTAACGCTAATCCTGGCTGTGGATCAAAGTAAGAGTAAGAAAAAAAATAGTATTTAAAAATATTAAATAAAGAGCAAGAGGATCAAATTATGAGTAAGAAAAAAATAGTATTAAAAAAATATTAAATGAAGAGTAAGAAACAAATATAAAAAAGATTAAAGAAAGAGCATGAAAAAATACAAATAATTAACGCTAATCCTGGCTGTGGATCAAAGTAAGAGTAAGAAAAAAAATAGTATTTAAAAATATTAAATAAAGAGCAAGAAAATATATATTAACTAAATGCTGGCTGTGGGGTTCGAACCCACGCGCACTTCAGTGCAGAAGATCTTAAGTCTTCCCCCTTAACCACTCGGGCAAACCAGCTATGATGCATTAAGGACACAAAAGAAAGTATTTGTTCTTTCAGTTACCGTTTCCATACCTACTCCCACGCCCAAGGTATCTGCCGGATAATGGAAGGCCTCCATAAGAGTCAACTCAGCTCAGCTTGACTTAACTCATTATCTTAACGAGACATAAGGTCACCTTGTTTTGTCACGAGATTGAGCTGACTTATTTAGCTCGTGAGCTAAATAATAAAAATCATGCATAGCGTATTATATATATAGTTATCTAAAACTTGGGGATAGTTTTTTCTCAATCCCTCACAAACATCTACCAATCCCTCAATCAAAAGGGACATTGCTCGATTCTCTTTCCCTTTCCTGCAACAGTTATTTTCTTGTGCCGCCCCCATCGTGTTCACATCCGCCATCAGAATTGAGCCATCATAGCCCCGGTCGTCTTCCACGAAACTATGTGTTGCTGGAATTGGTTTGCTTCTTGGGCTACTGCCACACCTCACACCCCGTGAACCTCGGCCTTAGGTGTCCCTCATTCGCCGCCGCATCTAAGATGAGCCAGTCGTTGCACTGAGCCAGAGCAATCTTCGTGCCAAGCAACCGCACTAAGTGCTAAGGTTGACAAAGAAGCCCGCTACCGTGTCCAAGGCGATCTAGCCGCCGCATCGGGCTAGAGCAGCCGCCGTGCCACATAGGCTGCATTGGACATTGGGGCCGACAAAGAAGCCCTTTGCCATGTCTAACGATAGGCAACCGCCGCTGTGTCCAAGGGCAAGCTAGCCACCGCACTGCGCTAGAGCAGCTACCGTGCCAGGCATGCCACGTTGGGAAGCTACCACATCGGGCACCGGGCCCAACAAAGAAGGCTATCATCAGTCGGAGCAGTCGCCACACGCATGGGCATGTTGCGCCGAGAAACTATCGCATCTGTCGTTGGTGTTGACGATGAAGAAGCCCGTCATAGCGCGGATGTTGCCCCAAGGCTCCATTTTTAAGTAGTCGTGGCCGTGCAAGACCCTTCTCTTTCCGATGAAAGGCGGCAGTGGTGCTGGTAGAAGATGGAACGAGAGGAAAAAGAGGAGAGGGAGAGAGAGGAGAGGAAATATGACCTTTTTACCTTGACACATCGACCCATATAAAGGGAATGTAGTTTTCTTAATCTGCTAGAGTACACCTCCCATTTAGTCTGCAATATCTTTTATACCCCGTTTGGATGTCAGTATTCAAGGTTGTAATTTAGAATGGGAAATGGCAGACCCAAATTCAAGTGTTTGGATGGTCAGCAAGTTGCTATCCAGAAACATTCTCCATTCTCACATGGTATTTAGCCCAACGAGCACACCTCCATGGCGATTCTGATTAGAGATCCTCTGTATTCACTGAAAATCATGTACACTTGATTCTCATCTCCTCAACACACAACCCGCCTAGTTCTCCACCCACACAGGATGACGGAGTTGGCCCTGCAAACCGGAGCTCCCTAAGGACACATCGGAGCTGCTCGTCACATCCTACTTCTCTCCTCCCTCGAAGCTCCCGAAGGCCGCGCGCGGGACTGCTCACCGTTGGCTCTCCCGTCGCGCAGAAGCTCCCCACAGCTCTCTTCTCTCCTTCCTCGTGGCCACTGCCCTGTACCTGATCTGCACGTACGCCACTCCCGTCGTGATTGGAAGGAGAATGACATGAGGCTAGGTCATGGGCATGTACGCATCTACAGACTACAACTCCTCGTCTTCCTCTAGAATTCTGGATTACAGCGGTATAAGTTATCCGAACAACATTTGGAAATGAATTATATCTCGACTGTTTTTCAATTTCTCATGCCATCCAAACCATAGCATTGGATTTAATCCTCATTTCAATTCCTACTCAGTTTTGGTATTGGACCCATGCATTTCAATTCCATAGCCCTGAATATTGACATCAAACATGATTGAGTTTTTGAATCCGGTGAAAATACCTATGCCAATTTTTTTTTATATTATTAATGATGAAATACGTAATTTGTTGGAGATGCTAGTACTGACTTCACTCGTGCTTTGGGGGACTAAACTGCACAACCACGCTTCTCTTCCCTTCCCGCGCAGCTCTTGCGCTCCGGCCCCTCCAATTCGTCGAAACCCCACACCCGATCCTCCCTCCCACCGCTTCCATATCCAATTCCAATTTCCATTCTAATCCAATATTCCCATATTCCCGCACGGCCAAGCCTGATCTCCGGCCAAATCCTCCCCGCCCGCGCCCCCGCCCTCCACCGGCGATGCGGGGCGCCGACCTCATCAACGCGGCGCTCCCGGACGAGCTCCTCGACGACGTGATCCGCCGCGTCGGGGCCGGCGGGGGCGGGGCCAAGCGCGACCTCGACGCCTGCGCGCTCGTCTGCCGCCGCTGGCGCCGCCTGGAGCGAGCCTCCCGCCGCTCCGCGAGGCTCGCCGCGTCCGGGGACCGCGCCGACGAGGTGCTGCGCCTCGTCGCCGAGCGCTTCACGGCGCTCGCCGAGGTGTCGGTGGACGAGCGCCTCACCGCCGCCTCCGGATCCGGATCCGCCACCAGGTCGTACCGCTCGGGAATGGAACGCGGCCCGTACCGCGCGGGAATGGTACGCCTCGCCTCGCCTCCCCTTCCCTTGATCCGAGTGCTGGGATCCGTACGCTTGACGAAAATGTCGCGTCTTGTGTCGGCGTCCTATTTTGGGAGAAACATGGCGAATGTAGAGGTCCTGTCGAGGAATTTGTGGCACCAACTCCCCTAAGAAAACTAGGATTTCGTCTGCTGTGGAACTTCTAGTGCCTAAATCGCTAGAATTTTCCTTCCTTGGCTGCTGAGAAATTGCCAGAAATGCTAGACTGTGAACAACTTTGCTGCATAACACTGAGACATAACAACACAATTTAGTGTCAGTCGTCTAGTCCAATTTGTTAGGTTTCTTGAGAAACTCTTTCTTGAAGCTATTTAGCTCCCTTGTTACTATGCACTCAGTACATGTCTTGAACGCAGATTCATATGCCTAATCAGATCCGGCGCCGGAGGAGGCTGCCTCTCGCATCGAATCTTACTCTTAAAATATCCCCATTCCCATTGGACCAGCCAGTCGGTGATCAAGGGTCTGAGCGCAGCTGTTTGACTGATGTTGGCTTGGGTCATCTCGCAAGGGGTTGCAGAGGGCTTGAGAAATTGAGTCTGGTATGGTGCTCTGCCATATCCTCGACAGGCTTGGTGAGGATAGCTGAGAATTGCAAGAAATTGACTTCTTTGGATCTCCAGGTAATTCCGGATTGTCTATTCTTCAGCTTATGCATTGCTATTGACTTCATGAACTTCACGTATCTGTTTGGTTTTCCACCTTGGAGACTTGAAACACTAGTTCTGTGAACAAAAGATTAATATTTATTGTAGAGTATCCATGTAATGTTGTACCTGCAATAAAACGAACATATGTCTGTAAAAAGTTTGATTGAGGTTTTTGGTCCTGGTGAAGCAATAAATATTGTTTTTCCCTTATGTATAGGAGTTGAAAGTAAAGAATTTATATGCATGGCAGAGTTGCAAACTGATAAGAACGTCATTTTGTCTAGTTCCACACACATTTTCCATGGTCGCAATCCATATAGTTCCTCTTTCGTAGACCCGATACATATTTATGGATAAAGCATGAAGACAAATCTTAAAATGCAGGCATGCTTTATTGGAAATCCAGGACTTATTGCTATTGGGGAAGGATGCAAGCTGCTTAGGAAATTAAACTTGCGATTTGTTGAAGGCACCACAGATGAAGGCTTGATTGGATTAGTAAAGAACTGTGGGCAATCGCTGGTCTCACTTGCTGTTGCAAATTGTCAATGGTTGACTGATGCATCTTTACATGCTGTTGGATCCCACTGCCCTAACTTAGAAATTCTATCAGTGGAATCAGATCGTGTTCAAAGTGTGGGAATAATATCTATTGCTAAAGGATGCCGACAGTTAAAAACTTTGAAGCTACAATGTATTGGTGCTGGGGATGACGCCCTAGATGCTGTTGGTTCATTTTGTCCGCTTTTAGAAATCTTGTCACTCAACAACTTTGAAGGGTTTACAGACAGGTACTCAGTTTAGTTGCACTATCGACCTGAAGTCCCAGTTTTGTTTTATATATGCTGGGTTTTCCTCTATCAATTTTGTTGGACCTTTTGCTCTAGGCTAAAGAAATTGCTTTATTTTTCCTTAAAATTTCCCATCTTGGCTTACCTTAAAAATAATGAAATATATTAATAGGTAAACATGTTTGAAGGTTTTCTGAAATATATTGGTAGGGCTTATGAACCCCATTATTTACATAAGAGCGAAGAAAAAAAAAAAGAATTTCGAGAAGAATGGAAATGAGAACAATGAGAACCATGATATGCAGTATGTACTATGTAGAACTGATGTAAACCAACTAGGATGCCGATTTGTTCTCATTGAATCATGTTTTCTTCTGCAACTGAAGGTGCTGATCATCCATTAATATCCTTGCTTGCACCTTGTGCTTCAGTTATTTTCTGAGTTTTCTAAATGATTAGCTGACCAACTTTTGCAATTTCAGGAGCCTTACTTCAATTGCGAAAGGGTGCAAAAATCTCACTGATCTTGTTCTCAATGAGTGCCATTTACTAACTGATAGAAGCCTTGAATTTGTAGCTCGTAGCTGCAAAAAGTTAGCACGTTTGAAGATCAGTGGTTGTCAGAACATGGAATCTGTTGCACTGGAGCACATTGGGCGATGGTGTCCGTAAGTTTCCTTGGTGATAACATGCTATATTGAAATTCCTTGCTTCAGTTAGCACTCCTAGACATTTATTCTCCTTTTTATTAACAGTTCTTTAATGTCAACTTGATGTGCTGTAGTTCAAGTAAATTAAACATAATTTTGGAGAGAAGGGACAGGCTAAAGAATATGTTAGGAAATGAACCCATTAATAAGCACAGTTTGGCTGTATATTAAATTTGAAACAGCATATAGGCTATCATAATCTTTGACTGATGGTCAATGTAAATTGTTGCACTTCTACAATTCTTTTCCTGTTTAGGTGCATTTTTAGCTATATTGATAACTTCTGTTGCAACAACAGTATATGATTTGTTGTCCTATGCAAACAGGGGCCTTTTGGAGCTCTCTCTAATTTTCTGCCCCAGGATCCAAAACAGTGCATTTCTGGAGATTGGTAGAGGCTGCTCCCTTCTCAGGACTCTTTATTTGGTTGACTGTTCAAGAATAAGTGATAGTGCCTTGTCCCACATAGCTCAAGGCTGCAAGAACTTAACAGAACTTTCTATTCGGCATGGTTATGAGGTACTTGTTTTCCATTGGTTTACTGGAAGCCTAGCATGCATGGAGATGGATAGCTGCATTTCCCTTGCAGTCTATATTTGGTTGTGTTCAGTTTGGAACTTTAAATGATTTTTTTATGTTTGTATTCATAGTTTATGCATTTGGTATGCAGGTAGGAGACAGAGCATTGATGTCTATTGCTGAGAATTGTAAATCACTTAGAGAGTTAACGCTCCAGTTTTGTGAGAGGTAAATATAATGTATGATGTGATGTGCCTTATTTAACTTGGTATTCCAATCTGTATTGCCCTCTTTATTTTGAATTGTGAATCTTCAAGTTATTTTTTTCAGGGTATCTGATGCAGGGCTGTCTGCAATCGCGGAAAACTGCCCTCTGCATAAGTTAAACTTGTGCGGGTGCCAGCTAATCACTGATAGCGGGTTGACTGCAATTGCCAGAGGATGCCCTGATCTAGTCTTCCTAGATATTAGTGTTCTTCGGGTATGTATTTCAATATGATGCTGCATTCCTTATTTGAAAACTGTCCAAAATTTGAGTAAACAGAAAAATCCTCACTGCTTCACTTTACTTTGAGTACATTTTCTATCCTGAGATAGGATAAACATTTTTGTATTTTGAGTAAGAAAGCTACCTCCATTTTGCCTCAAAGAAGAACACTTGAAGCACATTTCACAGCACTAGAAAAGGTTGAACCCACATGTTTTATATCTAGGCTCTGGTATGCAGTAAGTCATACATATAGTAATTTGGCTATATTCTATAGGGAATCAATAAGTTCAATTGATATATGTAAATAACGAATGTGAAGATTTCGGGAACACAAAAGGATTTTTATCCTTGTCATAATACGATAAGAGTTGATAAAGCTGTGCAAATACAAAGTTTGGCAGCAAATGAATTCTTAATACCATCTTGCATGCAACGGATCAGCAACCTAGTCAGTAAGTGTAGGTGTTTAAAACTGGCTACCTGAAACCTGTCACTTTAAAAGAACCAGCCCCACCTTGTGATAGATTTCTGTATTCTTCATCAAAGAGGGTAGAAGGCAATGGAATTATCTTTGATTCTGCTGTTAGCTTCATAAACAGTTCTCTGCTGTCCATCCATAAGGAAACATGCTTTTATTTGCTCTGTATAAATCATAGTCACAAAGTTCCCAAGTCGATGGGGGTCAAGGAACGTGGTACTCTACTTGCGAGAGGTTTTACATGGCGGGGTTAAAAAAAAAACCTTGTCTACCCGGGTCGGGGATGGCATTCGATCCTGTTTTCTGTGACTATGGTATAAATAACAAGCAGGGCATGCTAGTTCCTTTGTCTGATGACTTCTCATCTTGCTTCAACATACAGATCATAAGTGACATAGCGCTTGCTGAGATAGGTGATGGTTGCCCCAAGCTCAAAGAAATCGCGTTCTCCCACTGCCCAGAAGTCACCAACGTCGGTCTGGAGCACCTTGTCAGAGGGTGCCTGCAGCTGGAGTCCTGCCAGATGGTCTACTGCCGGCGAATCACCAGCTCTGGGGTAGCAACCATCGTCTCGGGCTGCACCAGGCTGAAGAAGCTCCTCGTGGAGGAGTGGAAGGTGAGCGAGAGGACCCGGCGGAGAGCGGGACCTGTCTTGTCGTTCCTCTGCACCGGGCTTTAGGTTCAGAAGAAAGCTTCTGGTGTGGTTTCTTTTTTCTTCTTTTTTCTTTGGATAAACAAAGCTTCTATTGTGTTGTTGCTGTGCTGTGTACCATAGCATCATTACCTCAAAAGTGTTGTATGAACTATTTATTTACTCACAAGTGTTGCACAGAACAAAATGTTGTACCAACTGTTGCATCAAAAGTGATGACCAAATAAAGATCATTTGAATAAACTGGCAAGAGCTTCATCAAAAGCCTGGTAGGATCTTCTCCAAAACTACAAGCATTTTGACCAGACAGGATGCTTGCCTTATTCCAGTGGCCAAGGAAATACCTTGCTGCTTCTGTTAGCCTGTTTCTGATCACTCTTGGAATAGCTTTGGCCTGCAATATTCCGAACGGGTTGCCGTCTATGGCATTGGCATCTGGAATCACTTGCTGTCTTTCACTGCCCAAAGACATTTTCATCATCAGGTAAAACCAAACGAGACGTCTCGTGCAGCTGCAAGGAACGCATGGATTCTTTGCTGCTTCGCCCCTACGCTGTCGGCGACTTTGTTGACGCCCATGTCGAGGCATCTATAAAGTGTACGTCCTCCATCTCGGCGTCAAGTAGAATCGTCAGCAGGTACAATACAATACAAGCACGCGGCGATGGCGAAAGGTGGCAGTGGTGGCGGCGGCGACGTCGAGCCAGCGACAAGCGTGGCCGGCGGCATGTGCGACCGGTTCTTGACGTTCCTGGCCAAGAACCTGTCGGTTAGCAGGATGAAGAGCATCGCCGAGGGCCCAAGGAACAACGGCGCCGGCGCCGGCCACCCTCCGCCGACGAAGGGAGGAGATGACGGTGGCGTGGAAGAAGACGAGTTCGCCATTCCCATCGAGAGGGCCGAGTTCGACTTCCAGTTGAGCGGCCATGACGATGGAGGGCACAGCAGCGTCGTCGCGACGACCATCCTGGAAGAGAGCGCCGCGACGACGACGACGAGGGATGTTCCTGATGAGCAGAAGGACGGAGCTGCTGCTGCGGCCGCCGCCGCTGCCGACGGCACGGCAGCGCCAGCGGTGCCGGCGGTGGAGGAGACGAAGGTGAGGAGGACGGTGACGATCAAGGAGGACCGTCCTGCACAGGAGGCCGGCGGCAGCGGCGGTGCCTCGTCGACGGCGACGGTGGAGAGGAAGAAGTCGCTGTTCAGGAAGCGGCAGGCGTCGTCGGTCGCGGGAGGGGAGGAGCAGGGCGGCGCCCGCGTGCCGAAGCGGAGCGGGCTCCGGCCGCGGATGCCGCAGGTGCCGAGGGTGCCGTCCAACATCAACGAGCGGTCCTCCACCTTCATCGAGGAGCGCAAGAAGAGCTTCGGCGGCAAGCCGGCGCCGAAGAAGTGAACGGACGACTACGTACGTATTGCCGGAGCACCGCAGCCGTTGCCGGTGCAATGCTGCCGCACCATATGTCCATATGTGAGTGTGCAGTGTACGTACGATTCGTGTGTATGGGTTTGATGTATTGTGATTGCTCGCTAATCGTGTCCAAGGATGGTCTCGATCTTAACCAAACTGTGTACGGGTTTACAACTTTGATCAATTGGCTGGACCCAAAAATTTACTAAAATATATTAGAACATCAAGCCACCGAGTAACTCCAAGAGATTCATAAAATTCACTTGCTACTGAACTTGACTTTATATCAATTTAACAAAACAAAGAGAGCTCAATGTATCAAGTTCTTGCTTGTAGGGAGTTGAGATTCATAAAATTCACTTGCTAATAGACTATTGACTTTATATCAAGTTAACAAAACAAAGAAAGCTCAATCTATCAAGTTCTTAGCTTTTGTTAGGGCGTTCTTTTTTAAAGAACTCAGAGGAGTTTGGGGAAGCACCGAGCCCTAGCTTGTCCGCGGTGTTGTACGTGTTAATTGTGTGGAAGAGCTCCACACATGGTCTTTACATATATATACCAGTGCTCTACCTCTAGATTGGATCAGCCAAGGATGTTTGTTACAAGAGATCATATATATCTAAACAATACCGCGTGGCTTTGTTTGCACAACATAATCAGTGTAATACGCCGAATGATCGAATTGCACACTGAAATCTACGGTAGTCATGTTGTACTCGTCCGTGTGGTGACCCCTTTGGTACTCTAACCCACTTGCACCCGAAAAAGATGGATCTAAAATGCTTTGTAGTCTATAGCTCCCAGATCTTTTCTATGAATCCATAGTTTATCTACAAATTGTTTTCGTTGTCATAAGCTTCAATTTGGACACCGTTGTTTTGGTTGGCACTCTTCTCATCTTGTTTTCTTGTGCGGAATGGACAATCTTAATTAGTTCTGACTAATTAGTAGTAGAAAGTATAAGTAAACAAGCCTTCTCAAAGCCTGTTCGCTTGATCGTAAACGATCGTAAATTTTCAGCCAGAACAGTATTTTTCTTTTACACCAAACCAGCCAACAGTAAATAATCCAAGATCGTTTACGGCCTGCCGAACAGGCTGTCAATCGGTTATACTCCTACAGATCTGGTCACCCCAAACGCCTCTATCACCATTGATTTTAGTAAAACCGACAGTGATAGTTATCAATGCTAGTTCGTAATACGAACCGACAGCGGCAATCCATCATCACATCTGATTTGCACCACCAACTGTCGGTGATGATGTGTTCCTCATCACTGCTGGCACAACATATGAACCAGCAGCGAAGACACTTTTCACCGCCGACTTGTTGTATGATACGGCGGTGATAACCATGCCGCAGCACAATAAAATTCATAACTTCTTCAAATAAAATCAGATGAAAACAAACTTTATATACTCGACGAGATTTATAACTTTGTAGTTGATAATTTTTTCATTTTAAATCATTTATGGTCCTAGAATTCTGTTTGAAGCGCTCAAATTTTAAAATTCAATTTTTTGAATTGTACAAATGACCTTAGATGAAAAAACAACCAAAAGCAACGATGAGATGTACAACTTTACGGTTGACAACATTTTCATTAGAAATAATTTATGGTCTCAAATTTGTATCTGAAGTTCTAAAATGTTAAAATTCAAAATTTTCAAACGACCCCACAGATGGAAAATCGACCAAAACCAGAGTTGTAGATTTCGATGAGAACTGCAACTTTGTACTTGATGCTTTTTTCATTTAAAATCATTTGAGATCCCAAAAGTATGGATAATGTCAGTGCAAAAAGTGATCAACAAGTGAATATTTGTAGTTTTACCGTGCGTTATGATCGGATGTGGCCTAGCACTCAATGACACAGGATTTATACTGGTTCAGGTAACGTGCCCTACGTCCAGTTTTGGTTGGTCGGTGACTTTATTCCTGAGCCTAGGTGCTCGAAGTTTGCTGTGGGGTTACAAACGAGTGGGAATAAGAAGGGGGTATTAAAGGTCTGGTCGGACTATGAACTGAAGGGCCGAGAGTGACGGAAACTCTAACGTGAGATAAGTATTGTAGCGTGTGCTCAGCATAGCTTTAGAGTTCTAGAGCTATTCAGATCCTAGAATCGGCCAGAGAGAGTCTGAATCACCGTCCCTGTTGGGAGAGAGCGCATCCCCTTTTATAGGTGAAGGGGATGGCCTTACAAGTTAGAGAGAAAGAGATAGAGTGTGTACGTGTGCTACCTAGTCATATTGCTCTCGCCATCAGGTACGAGACGATTGTCGGCGCCCACAATACTGTTCACTGCCAGACGCGTCTGGCCGGTTTTACCGTGTTCACCTAATATGGTAAATGTCGGCGCGTACAATACTGTAAGACAAATGTCGGTGCCCACAACACTATTTGGGTTCTGACACGCCTGGAAGGATGCATAGTACCCGTCTGGCATGGCCTGGCGGTACTGCCCTGCAGGTATCCAGGGTACGGTCCTCGGTATCGCGGTTGACTCGAGCATCTTACCTTATCTGCTTCGCCTTATCCTTGGGTCCTCACCGAGCGGGCGTACCCGGTCGGCCATTCCTAGTCGGTTCCTATCGTGTCGGTCGGGGAAGAGCTGTAAGCAGAGGTTCGACGTATTCCCGATCGAAAAAGGGGGTTGGAGTCAGACTATGTCCCCTCCTTGGACAGGTCTTCCGGTCAGGGATTGGATCATTTTCCAGGCCGGTCGTCACATAACCGGGCCAGCCCAAGAAGCGTGCATTGTTGCTATGCCGTCCTGCTGGGCCGAGTTTTTGTAGGAAAGCGGGTCCATTGGGGACCCTGGGTTTATGAACCCGACAGGAGCCCCCGAGCCCTTTTGGGACTTTTGTGAAGTCATAAAAGGGCTGTTTATACTCGTTTTACGAGCACACCCAGTGGGTCTGAGATTGTGGGTCACCATCGGACGAGACAGAGCGCGAACCCAAGCGTCAGGCGTGGCCGAGGGGTCGGGTCGAGGCAGAGTCGCCAACCTAGGCAACAGACGCGGCCGAGGGGTCGACGAGGCGGAGCGCCTACCCGAAGTGTCGGGTTCCACCCTAGGTGTTGGGCGCGATTGAGGGGTCGGGCGAGGCAGAGTTGCCAACCCAGGCGTCGAACGCGACCGAGGGGTCGGACGAGGCGGAGCGCCTACCCAAAGTGTCGGGTGCCAACCCAGGCGTCGAGCATGACCGAGGGGTCAGGCGAGGCAGAGTTGCCAACCTAGGTGTCGAATGCGGCCGAGGGGTTGGACGAGGCGGAGCGCCTACCTAAAGTGTCGAGTGCCAACCTAGGTGTCGGGCGCGACCGAGGGGACGGGCGAGGCTGAGTCGCCAACCTAGGCATCAAACACGGTCGAGGGGTCAGACGAGGCGGAGTCGCCAATCCCAAAGTGTCCGGTGCCAACCCACGCATCGAGCGCGACCGAGGGGTCGGGCGAGGTGGCGCGCCTACCCGAAGTGTCGGGTGCCAACCCAGGCATCGAGCGCGACCGAGGGGTCAGGCGAGGCAGAGTTGCCAACCTAGGTGTCGGATGCGGCCAAGGGGTCGGACGAGGCGGAGCGCCTACCTGAAGTGTCAGGTGCCAACCCAGGCGTCGAGCACGATCGAGGGGTCAGGCGAGGCAGAGTTGCCAACCTAGGTGTCGGATGCGGCCGAGGGGTCAGACGAGGCAGAGCGCCTACCCAAAGTGTCGGGTGCCAACCCAGGTGTCGGGCGCGACCGAGGGGTCAGGCGAGGAGGAGTCGCCAACCCAGGCATCGGACACGGCCGAGGGGTCAGACAAGGTGAAGTCGCCAATCCTAAAGTGTCGGGTGCCAACCCAGGCATCGGGCGCGACCGAGGGGTCGGGCGAGGCGGAGTCACCAATCCAAGCCTCGGGCATGGCCGAGGGGTCGGTCTAGCTTCATGCGTTACCCCGTCCATGGTTTCCACAATCGGAGGGGTTGAGCTAGCGTCTCTTGCCTCGATGGCCCGAGTGACACGCTCGGTGAGCTCAATAATGGGTACGTTCGAGTGGAATCTGGGTCCATCGTTCGTAATGGGGTCCGGATAGACCTCATGTGGCATTCCACTGTTCCTTAACCCGCCTCCCAATAGATGCCCGAGCCGTTCTAGAGACCAACTCAGGTGGCTCGCTGGCCTTCCCTCGATGTAGATTCTATGGGCATGGCTCGAGGTTAGGATCAAACGAGAAGGTTGAGATGACCCCATCTGCTTTGGAGCAGATTGGGCGAGGGCCGTTGGGGCTCATCTGTGTTTTCTCCCCTAGCTCTGTTTGACGCGAGGCGGCCTCGAGCCCTTCGCGGGCTGGCCTTGGAACCCTGGTCAGTCGTCGCTCATATCGAATGAGGCGACTACCGCTTCGTGATGCAACACGAAGCGTTGTGATGCAATAATTGCATATGCAATGCTTGGATGTATGAGATGAATGTATGGACGAATGTATGAATGCATGCATGGGAATGGATGAATGATTATGTACTAAAAATAAAAAGGGGTTTGGTAATGTTACCTTGATGGCTCGAGTGACGGGTCTGGGGAGCTCTTATCGGATATGTCTAAAAGGGATCCGTGTCCGTCGTTTGTGACGGGACCGGCATAACCCGCATGGGGCATCCCTTTGCTCCTTACCTATCACCCGGCAGCCGCTCGAGCCGTCCGATTGACTCGAGTGACCCATTGGCCTCTCCTTGATGGAGATTCTATTGGTGGGCCCTTCCAAACCCCGCTTGGGAAGGCATAGGGTCATTTGCGTGTGGTTGCGCCTTATTTCCTATGCCCAGGTTGTGGTAGTGGTGGGCCCTGCCCAGGCCATGTCCCATTTAACTAGGTGATGTTTCATTGGGCAGGGCGCATCGCATCATCTTGGACGCTGTCGATGGGGAACCCTACGGGCCCCCCATGGACCATACTGCAGGGAGGTAGACCTTGGTAACAAGGCCTATAGCCCAATCGTTAAGAAGAACGCG